TTAAAGGGTATTTAATTATTCTTTAAGAGGACACATCCTGCTGATGTTCAGGTGTGTTTGCAGACCATTTACATGCACTAACTAACTCCCATAACACACAACAGGAGAGGGAGAGGGACTCTTAAGAACATCTGAACTCTAGAACAGTGGTTCCCAAACGTTTTGTGCCCAAGGCCCAAAGGACAAGTACAAAATCTCAAGGCACACCTATTGTGCAAAATAGCCCTTATATCACGTGTTATCACTCATATCATGTAAAATATCTGTAAATGTGCATAATTATTTACTAATGCCAAATAAAATGTGACAAAGACAACTATATTACTCATGAAATATTTATTAACGAAATATTTCAGAAATTAATTTGAAACTTTATCAAATTAGGCTTCATCAAAGCAGCAACACACTCATTTAAACCAGACAGAGGATCAGGCTTTGGTGGTCGGCTCCCATCTCGGCGCACAGCTGGGAGAAGAGGCGAGATTTCAGGGGCCTTGATTTGATGTAATTCACCACCTGCACAGCCTGATTCAGCACCTCAGTCAACTCCGGGGGCATGGGGGGCAACTAATGCCTCTCTATGCAAAATGCAGTGGTTTGTCACGATATGTGGGTTTTGTGCTCTCACCTTAGCAATACATCCTTTCACTCTCCCCGTCATGCTTGCCGCACCATCTGTGCAAAGACTGACGCACATATTCCAGGTCAGACTGTTCTCTTTTAAATAGTTATTAGTTACCCTGAATGTTTCTTCTCCCGTAGTATGGCTTTCCATTTCTTTGCAAAAGAAAAACGTCTCTTTGATCGAGTCAGCATCAACATATCTGACGTTTGCCAGAAGTTGGGCAGCCCCACTTATGTCAGTAGATTCGTCTATTTGTAGGGAAAATCTGCCGCTCGCCTGCAGTGCCATAACGCAGCCTACTCACGGCGGCGTACGTTGCCGCTTGGCGGTGGGCGTGTCTTGAGCTTGGGGAGTTTACGCGAGCAACGCGACCAACAACCAATCACATGAATCTCCCGTGTCTCTCCCCAAGGGCTGGAAAATTGAAGAAGTGACCAGAAAGTAGGGTTTGTCAGCTGGAAAAAGCGATGTCTATTATTTTAGGTACTAAACGAACGGGGGCTTGCAAAACGTTTAGCTGCTGCAGGACACAAGAGTTTGCGGAAACAAGACAGGAGTTCATAATTGGAAGGGGGGGTCTGTGTAAAGTTTGTGATGGGAAGGGGGGGGGGGTTCCGTTTGCAGCGGGGTAAAAAGGCTTTAAAAAGGCTCCCGTGTATGAATCTCACCATAGACATTAATGTCTAAAAAGCGATTTTTAATTAATGTCTATGGTGCTATTTTATGCAACATTGCATGGTGGCTAAATATACTGTCTTTTCCTGCTGTCCATTCAAACGAAGTACACTGGATATAAACTCCCCAAACAGGCGAAAACCTACCAGTTTCACCCACTGTCTCTGCCACCTCACTCCAATAGTATGAAGCTGCAGCGTCGGAGGCTGCACTCTCAGGACCGCACTCCCAGTGTCTCTTTGAAATGATTTCTGATAATCCATAAGCAATAAAACTGCTTTTTCGTTTCCAAATGTCAGAGCTAGAGATAGGTCCACTCTGCTGCACATTTACATGCGCACAGCCCCCACCTCTTCTCTTCACAACGAGTGTGTTTGGGGGGGACTCCCCCTTCGATTCTATTGGCTCTAACGGTCAGAAAGAGGTGTCAACCATCAAAATAGACCAAGGGGGGCCAGAGATATGGGAAAAAAAACATTTTCACCCAAATCACCTCAGAGGTGGAGTGGTTTTGGCTAAACCTCTCTAAAAAGGTCAAATGTCACTTGTTTTGCATCAATCTTGATACAGGGTACTTATTATATGTTGTACTTTGGATTCCTAAAGCTTTTAGTCTACTAACCCATCATCCAAGGGTAGTTTTCACTATCTGTACAAAAGAATGTTTGGACGGACACTATAATTTAGTTTTTTACTATGTAAAATCTGAATTTTCTTTAAAATAAAAAACATTTATATTGATTCTGACACTTCTACATCCAACTCACAGATGTAACCTTGCTTTGATAAAAGAAATTATTCATATAACCCTTTTAGAAGTTAAGTTGTAGTCATTTGTTTTGGGCATGTCATTTTCGAGCCTGAAACATGAAAAACAGGCTTGGTGCTTAACAGGTTAAAAATGTAATAAGTAATGTAACTATTTGTATTGATAATCTAATGTTAATTATGGTTATTTTATGTTTTTGTGAGTCACTTTGGATAAAAGCCTCTGCTAAATAACATAACCATAACATACGGTTTCATTAAACAAATAAACAAAAAGGCTAACAGTTGGTTTTGCAGCGAGTCATCATCATAGGCTAACAGATGACATTTAGCACGTGTTGCTTGTATTGCTGTCCAATTGAATACACCAGAATAGTTGTTAACTTTAAACAAACAACATGATTCACATTACTCACACTCTTACTGTAATTAAATCAACAATTAATGTAGGACACCTAGTTGGGCTTGCCAAAATCACGCTACAGTTTCATTAAACAAATAATCAAATATGCTAACGAAACTAATGCTTTTGCTAATAATGCTTTTACCGAAAGCTATAGCTAACGAATAACTGGTTTTAGTGCCTTTAATACCGTTAGAAGCTATCATAAGCTAACAGATGTTTGTTTGTATTGCCTTAAGACTATCATAGTTGTTAGCTAATCACAATTCATTTCAAGACACCGGAATTGTTATTAATGTTAAACAAATAAAACTTTAAAAGCACTTCACATTCCTCACACTCTCTGCGTTGTCATTCATATTCAGGTCTCCTGCTCGCTAGGTGGCAGTGTCACGAAAAATTAGGGTCCTGGGAGTGCGGTCCTGAGAGTGCAGTCTCCGACGCTGCAGCTTCATGCTACTCCCTCCCTCCATGCCTGGCTCCTCCGGTTTGTATCCCGGTAGGTGAACAGGGACTGAAAGCACCGGGTGATTCCCTACCGCTACGATTATTGTGTAGGGGCCGTAACTTGACAGGTAACTTTCATGATACTGTCTGTTGACAGTTTTTTTTCCTCTTTTCTTTCGGTGGTGGGTTGTCGGCAGTCTCTGCACTGGTGGTTGGTGGTTTGCTCCGCACAAGAAAGCGCTCCATTTTCCCTCTTGCGTGTTTCTCTGTTTTAATGTTGTCCTTCAGCCTTCGATGTGTCACGGTCTTATAATTCCCACCTGCAACTGCGTTAACAGCGAAATATGGGGTTCTGTGAGGATATTTTTTTTAAAGAATTGTTTTTAGGTATAGAGTTTGCCTCTGTATTATGAAATGAGTGCATACAAAGTACTGATATAGTAAATTAAAAAATAATTATTTTTGTGTAGTTGTATATTGCAATAATAACGTATGGTTGTCACAAAATCCCACGGCACACCCGGACTTGCCTCACGGCACACCGTTTGGGAACCACTGCTCTAGAAACTACTTTGTATCATGAAAAATCAGAATTATGAGATCTTTTAAAAACTTGTTTTGTCTTTTATCTCAGAATTAGAGTTGAGAATTTCAGAAAGTCAGAATTTTGAAGATTTAAAAAGTCAGAATTTTGAAATGTTCAGAAAAAAAGTCAGAATTCTGAGATTTTCAGAAAAAGTAAGAATATGGAGAAGAAAATTAAATGTGGAGATTGAGAAAAAAAGTAAGAATTAAGAACATTTTAGAAAAAGTCAGAATATTGAAATTTGAGAAAGTAATAATTTGAAGATATTAATACATTTTCAGAAACAAGTCAGAATTATGAGAATTTCAGAGAAAGTCAGAATTTTTGGAAATTTTCAGAAAAAGTCAGAATTAAAAATGTTTAAGAAAGTCAGAATTTTGAGAATTTCAGAAAAAAAGTCAGATTTTTTATAATTTCAGAAAGTCAGAATTTTGAGAAAAAGTCAGAATTATGAGAATATCAGAAAGAGTCAGAATTAAAAATGTTAAAGAGAAAGTCAGAATTTTGAGATCTTTTAAAAACTTGTTTTGTCTTTTATCTCAGAATTAGAGTTGAGAATTTCAGAAAGTCAGAATTTTGAACATTTAGATAAGTCAGAATTCTGAGATTTCAGAAAAAGTAAGAATTATGAACATTTAAAAAGTCAGAATTTTGAAATGTTCAGAAAAGTCAGAATTCTGAGATTTTCAGAAAAAGTAAGAATATGGAGAAGAAAATTAAATAAAATTACTAAAAAAAAGTAAGAATTAAGAACATTTTAGAAAAAGTCAGAATTTTGAAATTTTACAGAAAAAGTCTTGGATTTTCAGAAAAGTCAGAATTTTCAGATTTGAGAAAGTAATAATTTGAAGATATTAATACATTTTCAGAAACAAGTCAGAATTATGAGAATTTCAGAGAAAGTCAGAATTTTGAGAATTTCAGAAAAAAAGTCAGATTTTTGAGAATTTCAGAAAAAAAGTCAGATTTTTGAGAATTTCAGAAAAAGTCAGAATTTTGAGAAAAAGTCAGAATTATGAGAATATCAGAAAGAGTCAGAATTAAAAATGTTAAAGAGAAAGTCAGAATTTTGAGAATTTCAGAAAAAACTCGGTAATAATAAATGTTCTGAAAAAAAGTCACAATTTTGACATAAACTGAAAAAAAGTCAGAATTGTGTGAATTCCAGAAAAACACAGAATTTATATCATTTGAGTAAAAAGTATAAATGTTTTTTCCCGTGCTTTTAGGATTTCCCCCCCGAATTTAACAACTTTAATCCCAGAGAATATCAATGTTTTTTTAATCGTAAATATGAACCGCCTTCATTTAAAAATGTTGGTTGTTTTTTGTTTTCAGAGATTTCAATCAGTATCAAATAAATAAAAACACAGGACAGTAAATCTGAGCGTTTATTATTCTAACAGCACAAACAGAAAAACACGCCGTCCTACAGCGGAGACACTTTACAGCCTTATAAAAAAAAACATCACCATCACCATCACCACCATCATCACTTAATAACCTCCCCCTCCCCCCCCTCCTCCTCCACCACCACCACCTCCTCCTCCTCCACCTCGGTATCCTCCCCCTCGGTATCCTCCCCCTCCTCCTCCTCCATATCCACCTCCTCCTCCATACCCTCCTCCCCCTCCTCCTCTTCCTCCTCCATACCCTCCTCCCCCTCCGTACCCCCCTCCTCCTCTTCCTCCTCCATACCCTCCTCCCCCTCCGTACCCTCCTCCTCTTCCTCCTCCACCCCCATATCCCCCTCCATACCCTCCTCCTCTTCCTCCTCCATATCCCCCTCCTCCTCCGCCGTCGAAGCGGGCCATCTTCGGAGGTCGCGGTCCGTCTCCCATCCTGCAGAGAGTTCATCACATTATAACTGGGGGGTTCAATCCAGACACTGTGTGTGTGTGTGTGTGTGTGTGTGTGTGTGTGTGTGTGTGTGAGACTGTGTGACTGTGTGTGACTGTGTGTGTGACTGTGTGAGACTGACTGTGTGAGACTGACTGTGTGAGACTGTGTGTGTGTGACTGTGTGTGTGTGTGTGTGACTGTGTGAGACTGACTGTGTGAGACTGACTGTGTGTGTGTGTGACTGTGTGTGTGTGTGACTGTGTGACTGTGTGACTGTGTGTGTGAGTGACTGTGTGAGTGTGTGTGAGAGACTGTGTGTGAGACTGTGTGAGACTGTGTGTGAGACTGTGTGTGAGACTGTGTGTGAGTGTGTGTGTGAGTGCGTGTGTAAGACTGTGTGTGAGTGTGTGTGTGAGTGCGTGTGTAAGACTGTGTGTGAGTGTGTGTGTGAGTGCGTGTGTAAGACTGTGTGTGAGACTGTGTGACTGTGTGTGTGTGTGTGAGAGAGACTGTGTGTGTGTGACTGTGTGTGTGTGACTGAGACTGTGTGTGAGTGTGTGTGAGACTGTGTGACTGTGAGTGTGTGTGTGAGACTGTGTGTGTGTGTGTGTGACTGTGTGTGTGTGTGTGTGACTGTGTGTGTGTGTGTGTGACTGTGTGTGTGTGTGTGACTGTGTGGTGTGTGTGTGTGACTGTGTGTGTGTGTGTGTGACTGTGTGTGTGTGACTGTGTGTGTGTGTGAGACAGTGTGTGTGTGTGTGTGTGTGAGACTGTGTGTGTGAGACTGTGTGTGTGTGTGACTGTGTGTGTGTGTGTGACTGTGTGTGTGTGAGATGGTGTGTGTGTGTGTGTGTGTGAGACGGTGTGTGTGTGTGTGTGTGTGAGACGGTGTGTGTGTGTGTGTGACTGTGTGTGAGACGGTGTGTGTGACTGTGAGACTGTGTGTGTGTGTGAGACTGTGTGTGTGTGTGAGACTGTGTGTGTGTGTGAGACTGTGTGTGTGTGTGAGACTGTGTGTGTGACTGTGTGTGTACTGTGTGTGTGACTGTGTGTGTGACTGTGTGAGACTGTGTGTGAGACTGTGTGTGAGACTGTGTGTGAGACTGTGTGTGAGACTGTGTGTGTGAGACTGTGTGAGACTGTGTGAGACTGTGTGTGACTGTGTGTGTGTGACTGTGTGTGAGACTGTGTGTGAGACTGTGTGTGAGACTGTGTGTGAGACTGTGTGTGAGACTGTGTGTGAGACTGTGTGTGTGACTGTGTGTGTGACTGTGTGTGTGTGTGACTGTGTGTGTGTGTGACTGTGTGTGTGTGACTGTGTGTGTGAGACTGTGTGTGTGAGACTGTGTGTGTGTGACTGAGACTGTGTGTGTGTGACTGTGTGTGTGAGACTGTGTGTGTGTGTGACTGAGACTGTGTGTGTGTGACTGTGTGTGTGAGACTGTGTGTGTGTGTGTGACTGAGACTGTGTGTGTGTGACTGTGTGTGTGAGACTGTGTGTGTGTGACTGAGACTGTGTGAGACTGTGTGTGTGCGTGTGAGACTGTGAGTGTGTGTGAGACTGTGTGAGTGTGTGTGAGACTGTGTGACTGTGTGTGAGACTGTGTGACTGTGTGTGAGACTGTGTGACTGTGTGTGAGACTGTGTGACTGTGTGTGTGTGTGTGACTGTGTGTGTGAGACTGTGTGTGACTGTGTGTGTGTGAGACTGTGTGTGTGTGTGTGTGACTGTGTGTGTGTGACTGTGTGTGTGTGTGACTGTGTGTGTGTGAGACTGTGTGTGTGTGTGTGTGAGACTGTGTTGTGTGTGGTGTGACTGTGTGTGTGTGACTGTGTGTGTGTGTGTGAGACTGTGTGTGTGTGTGAGAGACTGGGTGTGAGACTGTGTGTTGTGTGTGGTGTGTTGGTGTTGAGACTGTGTGTGTGTGTGTGTGAGACTGTGTGTGTGTGTGTGACTGTGTGTGTGTGTGTGACTGTGTGTGTGTGTGACTGTGTGTGTGTGTGAGACTGTGTGTGTGTGTGTGTGTGAGACTGGGTGTGAGACTGTGTGTGTGTGTGTGTGTGTGAGACTGTGTGTGTGTGTGAGACTGTGTGTGTGTGTGAGACTGTGTGTGTGTGTGAGACTGTGTGTGTGTGTGACTGTGAGACTGTGTGTGTGACTGTGTGTGTGTGACTGTGAGACTGTGTGTGTGTGACTGTGAGACTGTGTGTGTGTGACTGTGTGTGTGTGACTGTGTGTGTGTGACTGTGTGTGTGTGACTGTGTGTGTGTGACTGTGTGTGTGTGAGACTGTGTGTGTGACTGTGTGTGTGTGACTGTGTGTGTGTGTGTGTCTGTGTGACTGTGAGACTGTGTGTGTGACTGTGTGTCTGTGTGACTGTGAGACTGTGTGTGTGTGACTGTGTGTCTGTGTGACTGTGAGACTTTGTGTGTGTGTCTGTGAGACTGTGTGTCTGTGTGACTGTGTGGGTGTGACTGTGTGACTGAGACTGTGTGTGTGTGACTGTGAGACTGTGTGTGTGTCTGTGAGACTGTGAGACTGTGTGTGTGTGACTGTGAGACTGTGTGTCTGTGTGACTGTGTGTGTGTGTGTCTGTGAGACTGTGTGTGTGACTGTGTGTCTGTGTGACTGTGAGACTGTGTGTGTGACTGTGTGTGTGTGACTGTGTGTGTGTGACTGTGTGTGTGTGTGTGTGTCTGTGTGACTGTGAGACTGTGTGTGTGACTGTGTGTCTGTGTGACTGTGAGACTGTGTGTGTGTGACTGTGTGTCTGTGTGACTGTGAGACTTTGTGTGTGTGACTGTGAGACTGTGTGTGTGTGACTGTGAGACTGTGTGTGTGTGACTGTGAGACTGTGTGTGTGTGACTGTGAGACTGTGTGTGTGACTGTGAGACTGTGTGTGTGTGACTGAGACTGTGTGTGTGTGACTGTGAGACTGTGTGTGTGTGACTGTGAGACTGTGTGTGTGTGACTGTGTGTCTGTGTGTCTGTGTGACTGAGACTGTGTGTGTGTGACTGTGTGTCTGTGTGACTGTGAGACTGTGTGTGTGTGTCTGTGAGACTGTGTGTGTGTGTGTGACTGTGAGACTGTGTGTGTGTGTGACTGAGACTGTGTGTCTGTGTGACTGTGACTGTGTGTGTGTGTGTCTGTGAGACTGTGTGTGTGTGTCTGTGAGACTGTGTGTGACTGTGAGACTGTGTGTGTGTGACTGTGAGACTGTGTGTGTGTGACTGTGAGACTGTGTGTGTGTGACTGTGAGACTGTGTGGGTGTGTCTGTGAGACTGTGTCTGTGTGTCTGTGAGACTGTGTGACTGTGTGACTGTGTGTCTGTGTGACTGTGTGTCTGTGAGACTGTGTGACTGTGTGTCTGTGAGACTGTGTGACTGTGTGTCTGTGTGACTGTGTGTCTGTGTGACTGTGTGTCTGTGTGACTGTGTGTCTGTGTCTGTGAGACTGTGTGTGTGACTGTGTGTGTGTGACTGTGAGACTGTGTGACTGTGTGTCTGTGTGTCTGTGTGACTGTGTGTCTGTGTGTCTGTGTGTCTGTGTGACTGTGTGACTGTGTGTCTGTGTGTCTGTGTGTCTGTGTGTCTGTGAGACTGTGTGTCTGTGTGTCTGTGTGACTGTGTGTCTGTGTGACTGTGTGTCTGTGAGACTGTGTGTCTGTGAGACTGTGTGACTGTGTGTCTGTGTGTCTGTGTGTCTGTGTGACTGTGTGTCTGTGTGACTGTGTGTCTGTGTGACTGTGTGTCTGTGTGACTGTGTCTGTGAGACTGTGTCTGTGAGACTGTGTGAGACTGTGTGTGTGACTGTGTGTCTGTGAGACTGTGTGTCTGTGAGACTGTGTGTCTGTGTGACTGAGACTGTGTGTGTGTGACTGTGTCTGTGAGACTGTGTGTCTGTGTGACTGTGAGACTGTGTGTGTGTGTGAGAGACTGTGTGTGTGTGTGTGAGACTGTGAGACTGTGTGTGTGACTGTGTGTCTGTGAGACTGTGTGACTGTGTCGGTGTGACTGTGTGGGTGTGACTGTGTGTCTGTGTGTCTGTGTGACTGTGTGTCTGTGTGACTGTGTGACTGTGTGTCTGTGTGACTGTGTGTCTGTGTGACTGTGTGTCTGTGTGACTGTGTGACTGTGTGACTGTGTGTCTGTGTGACTGTGAGACTGTGTGTCTGTGAGACTGTGTGTGTGTCTGTGAGACTGTGTGTCTGTGTGACTGTGTGACTGTGTGTCTGTGAGACTGTGTGACTGTGAGACTGTGTGTCTGTGTGACTGTGTGTCTGTGTGACTGTGTGTCTGTGAGACTGTGTGTCTGGGTGTGACTGTGAGACTGTGTGTGACTGTGTGTGTGACTGTGAGACTGTGTCTGTGTGTCTGTGAGACTGTGTGTCTGTGAGACTGTGTGTGTGTGTCTGTCTGTGTGACTGTGTCTGAGACTGTGTGTGTGTCTGTGTGACAGACTGTGTGTCTGTGAGACTGAGACTGTGTGTGTGTCTGTGACTGTGTGTCTGTGAGACTGAGACTGTGTGTGTGTGTGTGTGTGTGTCTGTGTGTCTGTGTGTCTGTGTGTCTGAGACTGTGTGTCTGTGTGTCTGTGAGAGTGTGTGTGTCTGTGAGACTGTATGTCTGAGAGTGAGTGAGTGAGTGAGTGAGTGAGTGAGTGAGTGAGTGTGTGTACCTGCTGTTGTTGGTGTTGCTGGTCATCATGGTGAGTCCAGCAGCAGAGGTCTTGGACGTGGTTCTGATGACGTTCAGAAGCTGCTGGTGGTTCTGCTCCAGGTGTCGGATGTACTCTGGGTCTTTAGTGACCTCCACCACCAGAGCCTCCAGAGCGGCGCGCAGGGCAGCGACCCCCCCGGCCACCTGGTGGGGGATCCGCAGCTTGATCCTGGGAAGAGGGAAAGGTCACCACTCACTCATCGTATGAGTCACCTATCATGCAAAATCCACTTCTTCACGTCTCTTCTACATCAACATGTGTCCCCTCTTCTTCATGTCTCTTCTACATCAACATGTGTCCCCTCTTCTTCATGTCTCTTCTTCATCAACATGTGTCCCCTCTTCTTCGTGTCTCTTCTACATCAACATGTGTCCCCTCTTCTTCATGTCTCTTCTACATCAACATGTGTCCCCTCTTCTTCATGTCTCTTCTACATCAACATGTGTCCCCTCTTCTTCGTGTCTCTTCTACATCAACATGTGTCCCCTCTTCTTCATGTCTCTTCTACATTAACATGTGTCCCCTCTTCCTCATGTCTCTTCTACATCAACATGTGTCCCCTCTTCTTCATGTCTCTTCTACATCAACATGTGTCCCCTCTTCTTCATGTCTCTTCTACATCAACATGTGTCCCCTCTTCTTCATGTCTCTTCTTCATCAACATGTGTCCCCTCTTCTTCATGTCTCTTCATCAACATGTGTCCCCTCTTCTTCATGTCTCTTCTACATCAACATGTGTCCCCTCTTCTTCATGTCTCTTCTACATCAACATGTGTCCCCTCTTCTTCATGTCTCTTCTACATCAACATGTGTCCCCTCTTCCTCATGTCTCTTCTACATTAACATGTGTCCCCTCTTCCTCATGTCTCTTCTACATCAACATGTGTCCCCTCTTCCTCATGTCTCTTCTACATCAACATGTGTCCCCTCTTCCTCATGTCTCTTCTACATCAACATGTGTCCCCTCTTCTTCATGTCTCTTCTACATCAACATGTGTCCCCTCGTCTTCATGTCTCTTCTACATCAACATGTGTCCCCTCATCTCCACTGTAGCTGCTGAGCACATGGTGATAGAAAGACTGTTCCTCTCACCAGTCGTCCAGCGTCACCACCTCTCCGTCGGAGCTGATCTTCTTGCAGGCGAACAGCAGCAGCTGCAGAGGGCTGACCAGAGTCATCCCTTTCGCCGAGATCGCCCGGGTCCGGATCTGACACACACACAAATATGAGATTTTCAGAAAAAAAAAGATTTAAAAAAAAGTAGAAATTTAATGCAAATTTTAAATTTTTCAGAGATTGGTGAAAAAGTTAGAATTCTGAGATTTGTGTAAAAAATTAAATGTTTCAAAAAGATAGTCAGATTTTGGAAATGTTCTGAAAATTGTCAGAATTTGGAAGTTTTCTGAAAAGAGTCAGAATTTGAAAATTGTCAGAAAAAGTAAGATTTGGAGAATTTCTGAATTTGGCAATTTTTCTGAAAAAAGTAATAATTCCCCAAATGCTCAAAAAAAAAGTAATAATTTTGAAATTTTTTGAAAAAAGTATGAACGTTGACATTTAAAAATCCCGGGGGCGTTTCGTACCTTCTCGCTGAAGACGAAGAAGGGGGAGGGGTAGCTCATGTCGTGGCTGGTGAAGGGGCAGTTGACGGAGGATTTGTGAATCAGAGCGTTTCGGCCCTCGGTCGTCAGGATCTTCCTCTTCTCTTTGTGGAAGCAGACGTTGGGATACGAGCCGAAACTCAGCAGAGAGACAACTACGTCCAGGTTGTTGTCGGGACCCACGGTGTTGAACATCTGCGTCATCAAACACTCTGAGGGGCGGAGGAGGGGTATTAAAACCTTTAAAGTCATGCAGGCATGTGGTGTTTCTGTGTTGGTCCCTGAAGGCAGCATCAAGTCACCACCGCTAAGCTAAAGGTGGCTAATGTTGGGCTATAAAGGAACTACAGCACGGTCACATGACTTCACCACCGCTAAGCTAAAGGAGACTAATGTTGGGCTATAAAGGAACTACAGCACGGTCACATGACTTCACGTCACCACCGCTAAGCTAAAGGTGGCTAATGTTGGGCTATAAAGGAACTACAGCACGGTCACATGACTTCACGTCACCACCGCTAAGCTAAAGGAGACTAATGTTGGGCTATAAAGGAACTACAGCACGGTCACATGACTTCACGTCACCACCGCTAAGCTAAAGGTGGCTAATGTTGGGCTATAAAGGAACTACAGCACGGTCACATGACTTCACGTCACCACCGCTAAGCTAAAGGAGACTAATGTTGGGCTATAAAGGAACTACAGCACGGTCACATGACTTCACGTCACCACCGCTAAGCTAAAGGTGGCTAATGTTGGGCTACAAAGGAACAACAGCACAGTCACATGACTTCACGTCACCACCGCTAAGCTAAAGGTGGCTAATGTTGGGCTACAAAGGAACTACAGCACGGTCACATGACTTCACTTCACCACCGCTAAGCTAAAGGAGGCTAATGTTGGGCTATAAAGGAACTACAGCACGGTGACATGACTTCACGTCACCACCGCTAAGCTAAAGGAGACTAATGTTGGGCTATAAAGGAACTACAGCACGGTGACATGACTTCACGTCTCCACCGCTAAGCTAAAGGAGGCTAATGTTGGGCTATAAAGGAACTACAGCACGGTCACATGACTTCACGTCACCACCGCTAAGCTAAAGGAGGCTAATGTTGGGCTATAAAGGAACTACAGCACGGTCACATGACTTCACGTCACCACCGCTAAGCTAAGCTAAAGGTGGCTAATGTTGGGCTATAAAGGAACTACAGCACGGTCACATGACTTCACGTCACCACCGCTAAGCTAAAGGAGGCTAATGTTGGGCTATAAAGGAACTACAGCACGGTCACATGACTTCACGTCACCACCGCTAAGCTAAGCTAAAGGTGGCTAATGTTGGGCTATAAAGGAACTACAGCACGGTCACATGACTTCACGTCACCACCGCTAAGCTAAAGGAGGCTAATGTTGGGCTATAAAGGAACTACAGCACGGTGACATGACTTCACGTCACCACCGCTAAGCTAAAGGAGACTAATGTTGGGCTATAAAGGAACTACAGCACGGTCACATGACTTCACGTCACCACCGCTAAGCTAAAGGAGACTAATGTTGGGCTATAAAGGAACTACAGCACGGTCACATGACTTCACGTCACCACCGCTAAGCTAAAGGAGGCTAATGTTGGGCTATAAAGGAACTACAGCACGGTGACATGACTTCACGTCTCCACCGCTAAGCTAAAGGAGGCTAATGTTGGGCTATAAAGGAACTACAGCACGGTCACATGACTTCACGTCTCCACCGCTAAGCTAAAGGAGGCTAATGTTGGGCTATAAAGGAACTACAGCACGGTCACATGACTTCACGTCACCACCGCTAAGCTAAAGGAGGCTAATGTTGGGCTACAAAGGAACTACAGCACAGTCACATGACTTCACGTCACCACCGCTAAGCTAAAGGTGGCTAATGTTGGGCTATAAAGGAACTACAGCACGGTCACATGACTTCACGTCACCACCGCTAAGCTAAAGGAGGCTAATGTTGGGCTACAAAGGAACTACAGCACAGTCACATGACTTCACGTCACCACCGCTAAGCTAAAGGTGGCTAATGTTGGGCTACAAAGGAACAACAGCACAGTCACATGACTTCACCACCGCTAAGCTAAAGGAGGCTAATGTTGGGCTACAAAGGAACTACAGCACAGTCACATGACTTCACGTCACCACCGCTAAGCTAAAGGTGGCTAATGTTGGGCTATAAAGGAACTACAGCACGGTCACATGACTTCACGTCACCACCGCTAAGCTAAAGGTGGCTAATGTTGGGCTATAAAGGAACTACAGCACGGTCACATGACTTCACGTCACCACCGCTAAGCTAAAGGAGGCTAATGTTGGGCTACAAAGGAACTACAGTACAGTCACATGACTTCACGTCACCACCGCTAAGCTAAAGGTGGCTAATGTTGGGCTACAAAGGAACAACAGCACAGTCACATGACTTCACCACCGCTAAGCTAAAGGTGGCTAACGTTGGGCTATAAAGGAACAACAGCACGGTCACATGACTTCACGTCACCACCGCTAAGCTAAAGGAGGCTAATGTTGGGCTATAAAGGAACTATAGCACGGTCACATGACTTCACATCACCACCGCTAAGCTAAAGGAGGCTAATGTTGGGCTATAAAGGAACTACAGCACGGTCACATGACTTCACGTCACCACCGCTAAGCTAAGCTAAAGGTGGCTAATGTTGGGCTATAAAGGAACTACAGCACGGTCACATGACTTCACGTCACCACCGCTAAGCTAAAGGTGGCTAATGTTGGGCTATAAAGGAACTACAGCACGGTCACATGACTTCACTTCACCACCGCTAAGCTAAAGGTGGCTAATGTTGGGCTATAAAGGAACCACAGCACAGTCACATGACTTCACTTCACCACCGCTAAGCTAAAGGTGGCTAATGTTGGGCTATAAAGGAACTACAGCACGGTCACATGACTTCACGTCACCACCGCTAAGCTAAAGGTGGCTAATGTTGGGCTATAAAGGAACTACAGCACGGTCACATGACTTCACCACCGCTAAGCTAAAGGTGGCTAATGTTGGGCTATAAAGGAACTACAGTACGGTCACATGACTTCACCACCGCTAAGCTAAAGGTGGCTAATGTTGGGCTATAAAGGAACCACAGTACCTTCGGGGAATCCGGCGTTGACCAGGATCTCCTTCAGCTGGACTTTGGCCTCCCAGGTCATCCGCAGTGTCGACATGTTGAGACGCTTGTGTTCACAGAAACGAATTTCTGCTTCTTCACCGTTAATCCTGAGCAGGAACAACACAGCAGCTCATCATGCATGTTTTTATACAAAACCTCCTCACAGGTGAGATATAAGTGATTTAAACATGTAAAACTTGTACCGTTAGATATTTGCACAAAGTATACACACACCAGATTTCAACACCTTAGATTAATACACACACATACCTGATGTCGTCCCAGGCCTGGAAGACGGACAGCAGAGCGACGTGGTCGGAGAATCGGCTTCCTGCGAAGTTCCTGTGGACGAAGCCGAGGCGTTTCCCCTCGCTGATGAAGGGCTCCGGGAAGCAGGTGGCGGTGGAGATGGTGCACATCGCATCGCCAACACTAGAGGGCGACACACGTTCATTAAAAAATATATCGGCTAGTTCTTCTCTGCATGAAAACAGCAGTACAAACATGTGGTCGTGCAGCGGGGCATCATGGGAGTTGTAGTGTCCCGCTTCAGTGGAGGAGGATTTAGGTGAAAGGGATTTGGTTCATTGGAAATAAAGACCAGGGTTTTTCCAAATGTTCTTCCAGTAAATAAAGAGTAGAAGAGAGAGTGACTCACTGGAAGATGCAGCCCATGATCATCATCTTCCCGAGCCGCGGCTCGATGGGCAGTCGAGCCAGGATGCGTCCGAGAGGCGTCAGCTCGTCGTTCGAGTCCAGGGCGTCCAGCTCTGAGGGAGAGACAGAAAAGACCCTCAGACTTCATACCGTCCTCTTAGGTCTCATTCACACCTATAGTCTGCTTCTCTGGCCACAGTTTGTTACATTTCATTTTTCAGAAGGTTCGGTTTGCGTTCACACGGGAAACCTCAACGGACTATAAACTTGAAATGTCATGTGCACGGAAATGCTGTTCAACCATTGGTCAGACATTAAGGCGGTAAAAACGCAAATGCAGGCAATTTCTACCGTAGCTTTGGAGCATCGGCAGGTTATTGTCATGCTGCTGTTGGAGTGTGTGTGTGTGTGTGTTGTACCTCTGAGAGTGTGTGAGAGCAGTGGTCGCGTTAACCGAATATTTCCCGTCTATGACGGATTTTTTTTAACAATGACGGAAAAATCTGAAAGCAGTCTGTCATCTTGGCAGACTAGAACAAACTCAGTGCCAAAGTGTGTGTGTGTGTGTGTGTTGTACCTCTGAGAGTGTGTTCGGCCTCGATGACGGCGTCCAGCGGCGGCGGCTCAATGGCCTTGGACAGGAAGTGACCGATGGCTCCGAGCCGCAGCAGTTTGATGCTCAGAGCGACCTCATGGAGAGGAGTCCGGAAGATCTCTGGAGTCATGTGAGTGTCCAGCCTGCAGGAGGGAGACACTCAGTACGCAGATACACACCAGGAAACTAGAAACACTGCCTTTTCATGAAGCTTATTCAGGGAGTAGACCTCTACTATAGCACACGGGGGGATCACAGCAGCTGGAGATAAGAGACAGTGACTGAGTGCTGACCTCTCGAAGCGGGCGTGGCTGCAGAGGTGGAAGCAGAACCCGGCCCGGACCCGGCCCGCCCGGCCCTTCCTCTGCTCCAGGTTGGTCTTGGACGCCCACACTGTGGCGTAGTTCGTCATGTTGTTGTGGGACGTGAACAGCTTCACCTTCTGCCTGCCAGACAAGAGCACACAGGGACAAATCAATCAATGTTTATTTATATAGCCTGTTGGGAAAATCCTGAATGTCCTCTTCCAATCTGAGAGTAACATGATAACAAAGGTATCCCAACTGTAGCTGTATGTATCTATCCATCCATCTATCCATCTATCCGTCCATCTATCCATCTATCTATCCATACATCTATCCATCTATCCATCTATCTATCCATCTATCTATCTATCTATCCATCTATCCAACTATCTATCCATCTATCCATCTATCTATCCATCCATCCATCTATCCATCTATCTATCCATCCATCCATACATCCATCTATCCATCCATCCATACATCCATCTATCCATCCATCCATACATCCATCTATCCATCCATCCATATATCCATCTATCCATCCATCCATACATCCATCTATCCATCCATCCATACATCCATCCATCCATCTATATATCCATCTATCTATCCATCCATCTATCCATACATCCATCTATCCATCCATCCATCCATCCATCCATCTATCTATCCATCCATCTCCATCTATCCATCTATCTATCCATCCATCCATCTATCTATCTATCTATCCATCCATCCATCCATCCATCCATCCATCCATCCATCTATCCATCTATCCATCCATCTATCTATCCATCTATCCATCTATCTATCCATCCATCCATCTATCCATCTATCTATCCATCCATCCATACATCCATACATCCATCTATACATCCATCTATCCATACATCCATCTATCCATCCATCCATACATCCATCTATCCATCCATCCATCCATCTATATATCCATCTATCTATCCATCCATCTATCCATCTATCTATCCATCCATCCATCTATCCATCCATCCATCCATCCACCCTCCTACCCACCTACCCACCCACACCTTCCTACCCACACCTTCCTACCTACCTACCCTCCTACCCACCCACCCTCCTACCCTCCTACCCACCTACCTACCTACCAACCACCTACCCACCTACCCTCCCTCAGATCTACTCAGATTGGGAACACAGAACAGATTCCCTGTACGTGATGTTTCCTCTGAAGGCGATCACTCACTTGCAGGAGTCGATGACGTAGACCACGTCGTTGATGGTGATGCTCGTCTCTGCGATGTTGGTGGACAGAATCACCTGCAGGTCAAACAACAGGATCATTTCCTGATTCAAACAGCTCTTTACCTGCTAGTATTCACAGGTGGGAAGTAGTGGAGTACAAATACTTTGTTACTGTACTCAAGCACATCTTTCTGGTATCAGTACTTTACTCCACTACTGATTTATACTACGACTTTTTACTTTCTACATGTTGAACACAAATACCTGTACTTTCTACTTCTTACATGTTGAACACAAATACCTGTACTTTCTACTTCTTACATGTTGAACACAAATACCTGTACTTTCTACTTCTTACATGTTGAACCCAAATACCTGTACTTTCTACTTCTTACATGTTGAACCCAAATACCTGTACTTTCTACTTCTTACATGTTGAACACAAATACCTGTACTTTCTACTTCTTACATGTTGAACCCAAATACCTGTACTTTCTACTTCTTACATGTTGAACCCAAATACCTGTACTTTCTACTTCTTACATGTTGAACCCAAATACCTGTACTTTCTACTTCTTACATGTTGAACCCAAATACCTGTACTTTCTACTTCTTACATGTTGAACACAAATACCTGTACTTTCTACTTCTTACATGTTGAACACAAATACCTGTACTTTCTACTTCTTACATGTTGAACACAAATACCTGTACTTTCTACTTCTTACATGTTGAACACAAATACCTGTACTTTCTACTTCTTACATTTAGAACACAAATACCTGTACTTTCTACTTCTTACATGTTGAACACAAATACCTGTACTTTCTACTTCTTACATGTTGAACCCAAATACCTGTACTTTCTACTTCTTACATGTTGAACTCAAATACCTGTACTTTCTACTTCTTACATGTTGAACTCAAATACCTGTACTTTCTACTTCTTACATGTTGAACACAAATACCTGTACTTTCTACTTCTTACATGTTGAACCCAAATACCTGTACTTTCTACTTCTTACATGTTGAACCCAAATACCTGTACTTTCTACTTCTTACATGTTGAACACAAATACCTGTACTTTCTACTTCTTACATGTTGAACACAAATACCTGTACTTTCTACTTCTTACATGTTGAACACAAATACCTGTACTTTCTACTTCTTACATGTTGAACACAAATACCTGTACTTTCTACTTCTTACATGTTGAACCCAAATACCTGTACTTTCTACTTCTTACATTTAGAACACAAATACCTGTACTTTCTACTTCTTACATGTTGAACACAAATACCTGTACTTTCTACTTCTTACATGTTGAACACAAATACCTGTACTTTCTACTTCTTACATGTTGAACACAAATACCTGTACTTTCTACTTCTTACATGTTGAACTCAAATACCTGTACTTTCTACTTCTTACATGTTGAACACAAATACCTGTACTTTCTACTTCTCACATGTTGAACCCAAATACCTGTACTTTCTACTTCTCACATTTCCCAAACAGGCTGGTTCCTTTAGTTTGAATGTGTGTTTGGTGGCGTGGTCATTATTATTTAGAGTCATTGCGTGCCTATTGATTTGAACACGATCCGTGTATCCATCATTTCAAAGGCCCTGTATCTGGTCTCCATGGTGTCAGTGTTGAGTCTCACGTGTATGGACGTTTTAAAGTGATTTTAAGACCTTGTTGTCCTGGAAACTGCTTCGAGTCTCTTTAAAGACGTTTAAAAACAACAAAGATTTGAATATGTCCGTCTCTGACCTTCCTGATGTTGTCGGGCACCGGCTCGAACACCTTCCTCTGCTCCTCACGGGGGATCTGAGAGTGGAGGGGCATGATCCGGTACCGGTTACTTCCTGGAAACAAATACAACACTTCAGCAAAACAAAAACAACCCAACAACAACACGGTGCTCCGTTTAAACTGGACACACACCGATACATCTAGAAGCTGCATTTCATTTCAAAACCATCCATTGAGCTTAGGGTCTCATTGATTATAGGGTCTCATTGATTATAGGGTCTCATTGATTATAGGGTCTCATTTAGCATAGGGCAGGGGTCGGCAACCCCTGGCACGCGTGCCAGCATTGGCATGCGGCACCGTAACCAGTGGCACACTAGGAATAAGTGGAATAAGTGTGCAAAATATTTAAATTGTATTTTCGGATCCTGAACGAGACCGCCGCCAGAGCGCGTCTCCCCGTTACCTGCAGAAGGAAGCCATGCACGCACCGCAGCCCCGCTCTCTTTAACTCCAGGTGACTTTCTGCCGCTTTCCTCCGTGGTGCAGGGCTGATTGTTTCACCACAGAGGAAAGCACTTCACAAATTGCAGTACCCATAAGGAGCTGTACAAATGCCGCAGTTTTTGCGTGGCTGTGTCTTTAGTTGAAAGCCCAGTGGCGATCTGCTCATCTCTCATCTAAATAATATGCTACAAAGGGGCGGACTGGCCATCTGTGTGTTGAACTTTCCTGTCGGCTCCCAGACCGTAGTCGAGGAGGGCAGAAGCAACAAGCTTCAGGTTCAATAACCCACTTTAGCTTAAATGACTGGAGAGAGGCGAGCTCTTCTGGGGAGGCCGTTGCATTTATTTAGCTGTTCTTCTGTTTCACAAAATACATCACAGACCTGTTTTTCTGCTGCCTCGTTTCACTTCCAGAAACATACACACGCTCCCTCACTCTCGCTCTACCATCCACACACACACATGCACACGCCACACCCCTCTCTCTCTCTCTGAAAGGGACAGCGATCTCATCTCACTCTGCATGACCCTAATATCATAACATGTGTGTTCTGGAGAATCACAGAACGGACGATCGTCCTTATTATTAAGCCGTTTAAACCAATTATTTAAATGTGTTTGTTAAATTCGGCATCATGTAAGTTGTGCTGACAGGTCCACACACTGCTTCCCCGCAGCGAGGCCCCCCCGCCCTCCTGTTGATAGTTCACGAGCGTCAAGCTCCTCAACCCCCCCCGTTGATAATTCTTGATCGTTGGCACGCTGATAACAATTTTTTTTTTTTTTAAATGGCACTTCATATCAAAAAGGTTGCCGACCCCTGGCATAGGGTCTCATTGATTATAGGGTCTCATTTAGCATGGGGTCTCATTGATTATAGGGTCTCATTTATTATAGGGTCTCATTGATTATAGGGTCTCATTGATTATAGGGTCTCATTGATTATAGGGTGTTATTGAGCCTTCCTGGTTGTGGGCGTACCGAAGTGGGGGTTGGTCTCCAGGTGCCTCTGCATGGCGAAGATGAGGTTCCAGCCGGGCAGGAAGACGAGCACCGCCCCCGCCACCTGCAGCGTCTCGATGTAGCGCAGCAGCGCCTCCACCAGCTCGAAGGACGTCTCCTTCTCGCTGATCAGAGCCATGGAGCGCTTCGTCTCCGCAGAGTACTCCGGACCGCAGAGCACGTTGCAGTTCGTCTGCAGAAACACACAGATCACACTTTAACTCCGGGGGGTCAAACTCAAGGCCTGCGACTTCACTTCATGCAGCCCCGTGCTCGCAAAGAAACGCTTATTATACGGTTACATGCCGCTTTACAAATGCTCTGTATGTGAGGACTACTTCCATCTTTGAGAGGATCATAAATACATGAGTCCTGAGATTGAAGCTCAAGCTGGTGAACAGGGATTATTAAAATGTTTAACTATTCAGAAAGTCAATTTTGAGATTTTTAGAAAGTCAGATTTCTTTGAAAAAGTCAGAATTTTGAGAAAAAGTCAGAATTTTGTAGATTTTGAGAAAAAGTCAACATTTTGAGAAAAAGTCAATTCTTTTTTGAATAAATCAAAATGTTGAGAAAGTCACATTTTTTAGATTTTTAGAAAAAGTAAGATTTCTTTGAAAAAGTCAATTTTTTTGAAAAAGTCAAAATGTTGTAGATTTTGAGAAAAAGTCAGAATTTTGTAGATTTTGAGAAAAAGTCAACATTTTGAGAAAAAGTCAAATTTTTTAGATTTTTAGAAAAAGTAAGATTTCTTTGAAAAAGTCAATTCTTTTTTGAAAAAGTCAAAATGTTGAGAAAGTTAGAATTTTGAGAAAAAGTCAGAATTTTGTAGATTTTGAGAAAAAGTCAGAATTTTGTAGATTTTGAGAAAAAGTCAACATTTTGAGAAAGTCACATTTTTTAGATTTTTAGAAAAAGTCAGAATTTTGTAGATTTTAAGAAAGTCTGAATTTAGCGATTTTTTGAAAAAGTAAGAATTTTTTGAAAAAGTCAACATTTTGAGAAAGTCAGAATTTAGTTTATTGTCTATAAACTACATGTCAAACGTACGTAAAGGGTCCTGAACATATTGTCTTCAGTGATGTTATGTTAAATGTCTGTTTCCCTTCTCTGTTAATGTTGAAGCTGCTTGATGCAAGATAACGTCACACTTGATCTGAAGGTCCTATCGTATCATATTCATTTCATTCAACCTCCCTGAGCTGCAGACACTGTATTTATGAGCAGTAGCGTAAGGGAAGGGTTTCTCACGTCTTCCTCTCCTCCCTCCTCGTCTTTGTCCTTCTTCTTGCGGTCCATCGGAGGAGGGATGAAGTTGGTCATCTGGATGCAGTCTTCCAGGAAATACTCTGTTTTGAACACAAAGGATAAGTCACACATCTGTAGTTCTCAGGCTGGGTTTAACTCAACCTCTCTCACTCCATCAGAGCCATTTTGTTTATGATTATGCAGTCTTACTTCATCCAACAGGCCACAAGACTATTAAACACCTGAACTTTTGAAACAACATCCATAACATTCATCTGGCTGCAACTTGCAAATTATTTATCTAATATAAGATATGTCTTTTATTTTCGTAAAGCACTTTGAATTGCACTGTGTTGAAATGTGCTATATAAATACACTTGCCATTTACTTGCACTATTTTTTCAGTTTTATCAGTTTTATTGTGTTGCTCTGTTGAAGGAGCCTCAGATGTTCATCGTCATAACTACACTGTAGCTATGCACGTATGACTAATACAAGCCTTGAACCTTGAACCCTTGAGCCTTGTTACCTTCCACGGGGAAGGTGCGTCCGAACACCTCGATGACGGGCGCGTTGAAGAAGTACTCTCTGAACATGGAGGTGTCGATGGTGGCCGACATGAGGAGGACTCGCACCTCGGGGTACGCCTGGATCACGTCTCTGAGCACCACCATCAGGAAGTCCGTCTGCACACAGTTCAGTGCTTCATTTTAAACATCTCCCATCGTGCTGTTTTTAGGCATATATTATAGGTCTCCGATATATACACAAATATAAAAAACATGTCTATGAAGTGTTTTGCTCCAATACCAAACAGATCCTTCTAGCCTCATCCCCTTCTATTCCAGCTGTTACTAAAGAGATGATTCTGGGTCTGTAGCTTTGATGAAACTCCATATCATGTTCCAAACCACATCAAGGATTCTCTCTGAAACAGTATGGAGCTCAAACTCTTTCTCTCTCTCAGGTTTACCACAAGGTGACTTCCTTTTGATTTCCTGCTTCTTCACACATGCTCTCTCCAGTACAGGTTAGCTCTGAGTGTTAGCATGCTAATGTAAACACAGACCATATTACTTCCAGAACACGTCTCATTGTTTCTGACAGCAACGTTTCTGATTGGCCGGGTGTAAAGCCCGCCCACATTTTAGTAATGTGGTCATGACGCAGCAAATCTGGATCAGCTCCGTTGTTCCCCCGTTTTTAGAGATGTGGGTACGGAGTTAAAGAGAGAGGGGTTTATTTCCTGACACTTTGTGAGTCTCCTGACACACCGGGGACACACGGGGACACACGGGGACACACCGGGGACACACGGGGACACACCGGGGACACACCGGGGACACACCGGGTACACACAGGGACACACCGGGGACACATGGTGATGTAGAGAAGACATCAAAAAGTGACCTTTAAAATGTGTCTTAACATCATGTTTTGTTCTCAAGGTGCTGAACGGATGTAAAACTGAACTCACGTTGATGTCTCTCTCGTGGATCTCATCAACGATAACGTGGCTGATTCCTCTGATTCCTGCTTCAAGCTTCCTCAGCAACACTCCTGAAACACAAACACACACTCATCAACACACAACACACACTCATCAACACACACTCAACACACAACACACACTCATCAACACACTGCAGACACACAACACTGTCCACAGCAAGCTGATTAAATATCATCCAAACAGTGAATCCTCTCAAGTCTTGGTGTGAGTCAGTAAAAACTGAGCTTTTGGGAGACCGATGGAAACGTCTGTTTCCCAAATGTTAACGTACCGACGGTGCAGAAGAGGATGCTGGCGTGCGGGCGGGGAAGGACGGACTCGAACCGGACGCTGTATCCACAACTCCTCCCAACATCCTCCGCCCTCTCGTAGGAAACTCGCTCGGCCACCGACACGGCGCTGATCCTCCGGGGCTGCAGGAGATCAAACCAGGACACAGAGTGAGCAACAGGTTCTCCTTCACCTGCAGCCTGTAGCTATTAGCTGAATGGTCAACATCCATATGCATATTGAGAGTAGCATGCTAACTAAGGTATCCCAACTGTAGCTGTGAACATGACAGGATGTATGATTACCTAGAAGAGCATCAGGACTGTTTGAGGCATATGATAGCTATGTGATGAACATGATGATTCAGCCTCTATGGAGAGAGACATATGACAAGCATGCTCATTTCTGACGTGGAGCTAATCTGAAGTAAACATTGAATACTGCTTTCTATTCCTCCATCTTGTGACTGTGTAACTCCCTCTCTTGGATATCAGCATGTGAAGGACACTGTTCAGGAACTAGTTGATGCTCTGTATGTGATGACTACTTCCATTCTGGAGAGGATCACAGATACATGGATCCTGATGTTGAAGCTCAAGCCGGGGACCAGTGATAATTAACATTTTTAAGTATTCAGAAAAATTCCGATTTTTGAGAAAAAGTCATGATTGAGATTTTGAGAAAAAAGTCAGAATATTGAGAAAAAAAGTCAGGATTTTTAGAAAAAAAGCCAGGATTTTGAGGAAAAGTGTCAGGATTTTCAGATTTTCAGAAAAAACCCAACATTTTGAGAAACAAGTCAAGATTTTCGAAATTTTGAGAAGAAAGTCAGGATTTTGAGATTTTCAGAAAAAAACCAACATTTTGAGAAAAAAGTCAATATTTTCAAAATCTTGAGAAAAAAAGTCAGGATTTTGAGAAAAAAAGTCAGGATTTTCAGATTTTCAGAAAAAACCCAACATTTTGAGAAACAAGTCAAGATTTTCGAAATTTTGAGAAGAAAGTCAGAATTTTGAGATTTTCAGAAAAAACCCAACATTTTGAGAAAAAAGTCAAGATTTTCGAAATTTTGAGAAAAAAAGTCAGAATTTTGAGATTTTCAGAAAAAACCCAACATTTTGAGAAAAAAAGTCAAGATTTTCGAAATTTTGAGAAAAAAAGTCAGGATTTTGAGAAAAAAAGTCAGGATTTTCAGATTTTCAGAAAAAACCCAACATTTTGAGAAAAAAAACTCAGCATTTTGTACATGACAGGATGTATGATTACAAGAACCGGTATTCCTCCATCTTGTGACTGTGTAACTCCCTCTCTTGGATATGTGAAGGACACTGTTCAGGAACTAGTTGATGCTCTGTATGTGATGACTACTTCCATTCTGGAGAGGATCACAAATACATGGATCCTGAGATTGAAGATCAAGCTCCGGTGACCAGGGAGATTTCTCTAACACCTATACTGGTGCGCTAATCCCATTGCTCAATAATGACATAAGAATTCCTCTTTACCTGCGTGACCACGATGTTGCAGTCGGAGGCTTTCCCCGCCTTGATGAAGCGGTCCAGGATGTACTGAGGCACCTGCGTGGTTTTCCCGCAGCCGGTGGCTCCTCTGATGATCACCACCGCATTGCTCTCCACCGCCGCCATGATATCCTCCTCAAACTTTTTGACGGGCAGCGTGTCGCGCTCCGCCAGGATCTGAAAACACAACACTCACGGTTTCATACACTCTCATATGTCTTATAATCAGAGGTGGGAAGTATTGTACAAATACTTTGTTACTGTACTCAAGTAGATTTTTCTGGTATCAGTACTTTACTCCACGACTTATTTTTCCGACGCCTTTTTACTTTGACTTCTTACATTTTGAACACAAATACCTGTACTTTCTACTTCTTACATGTTGAACACAAATACCTGTACTTTCTACATGTTGAACACCAATACCTGTACTTTCTACTTCTTACATGTTGAACACAAATACCTGTACTTTCTACTTCTTACATGTTGAACCCAAATACCTGTACTTTCTACTTCTTACATGTTGAACACAAATACCTGTACTTTCTACTTCTTACATGTTGAACACAAATACCTGTACTTTCTACTTCTTCCCATGTTTGAACACAAATACCTGTACTTTCTACTTCTCACATGTTGAACACAAATACCTGTACTTTCTACTTCTCACATGTTGAACACAAATACCTGTACTTTCTACTTCTCACATGTTGAACACAAATACCTGTACTTTCTACTTCTTACATGTTGAACCCAAATACCTGTACTTTCTACTTCTTACATGTTGAACACAAATACCTGTACTTTCTACTTCTTACATGTTGAACACAAATACCTGTACTTTCTACTTCTTACATGTTGAACACAAATACCTGTACTTTCTACTTCTTACATGTTGAACACAAATACCTGTACTTTCTACTTCTCACATGTTGAACACAAATACCTGTACTTTCTACTTCTCACATGTTGAACACAAATACCTGTACTTTCTACTTCTTACATGTTGAACCCAAATACCTGTACTTTCTACTTCTTACATGTTGAACACAAATACCTGTACTTTCTACTTCTTACATGTTGAACACAAATACCTGTATTTTCTACTTCTTACATTTTGAACACAAATACCTGTACTTTCTACTTCTTACATGTTGAACCCAAATACCTGAACTTTCTACTTCTCACATGTTGAACACAAATACCTGTACTTTCTACTTCTTACATGTTGAACCCAAATACCTGTACTTTCTACTTCTCTCATGTTGAACCCAAATACCTGTACTTTCTACTTCTTACATGTTGAACACAAATACCTGTACTTTCTACTTCTCTCATGTTGAACCCAAATACCTGTACTTTCTACTTCTTACATGTTGAACACAAATACCTGTACTTTCTACTTCTCACATGTTGAACCCAAATACCTGTACTTTCTACTTCTTACATGTTGAACACAAATACCTGTACTTTCTACTTCTTACATGTTGAACACAAATACCTGTACTTTCTACTTCTTACATTTTGAACACAAATACCTGTACTTTCTACTTCTTACATGTTGAACCCAAATACCTGTACTTTCTACTTCTTACATGTTGAACCCAAATACCTGTACTTTCTACTTCTTACTTCTTACATGTTGAACCCAAATACCTGTACTTTCTACTTCTTACATGTTGAACCCAAATACCTGTACTTTCTACTTCTTACATGTTGAACACAAATACCTGTACTTTCTACTTCTTACATGTTGAACCCAAATACCTGTACTTTCTACTTCTTACATGTTGAACCCAAATACCTGTACTTTCTACTTCTTACATGTTGAACCCAAATACCTGTACTTTCTACTTCTTACATGTTGAACACAAATACCTGTACTTTCTACTTCTTACATTTTTAACACAAATACCTGTACTTTCTACTTCTTACATGTTGAACCCAAATACCTGTACTTTCTACTTCTTACATGTTGAACCCAAATACCTGAACTTTCTACTTCTTACATGTTGAACACAAATACCTGTACTTTCTACTTCTTACATGTTGAACACAAATACCTGTACTTTCTACTTCTTACATGTTGAACACAAATACCTGTACTTTCTACTTCTTACATGTTGAACACAAATACCTGTACTTTCTACTTCTTACATGTTGAACCCAAATACCTGTACTTTCTACTTCTTACATGTTGAACCCAAATACCTGTACTTTCTACTTCTTACATGTTGAACACAAATACCTGTACTTTCTACTTCTTACATGTTGAACCCAAATACCTGTACTTTCTACTTCTTACATGTTGAACCCAAATACCTGTACTTTCTATTTCTTACATGTTGAACCCAAATACCTGTACTTTCTACTTCTTACATGTTGAACCCAAATACCTGTACTTTCTACTTCTCACATGTTGAACACAAATACCTGTACTTTCTACTTCTTACATGTTGAACCCAAATACCTGTACTTTCTACTTCTTACATGTTGAACACAAATACCTGTACTTTCTACTTCTTACATGTTGAACTCAAATACCTGTACTTTCTACTTCTCACATTTCCCAAACAGGCTGGTTCCTTTAGTTTGAATGTGTGTTTGGTGGCGTGATCATTATTATTTAGAGTCATTGCGTGCCTATTGATTTGAACACGATCCGTGTATCCATCATTTCCTGGTCTTCTCTAAAGCAGGGGTTCCCAAAGTGGGGGTCGCGAGATGATTCAAAATAAAATAATAATATTTTTTATTATTATTATCCAGTGTTTCCCACATAATTAGATTCTATTTGTAGGGGCACCGCGGGGCAATGTTATATAATTCAGGCTATGAATGATATATTGTTACGTGCCAGGCAGGCTGTACTTGTGTACAAACCCTAACAAACCCTTCTGTAAAAACCTTCAGAATATTGATAGGAATATAACTGGAAGGTTTGGTGTATGTAAGTGCTAATGAAGTGGACATTTCTCACTAGAGGAGAAAAAAACTCATTTTGAGAAAAGGACCTTTAAAGATTGCAGTGTGACGCTAGCTAAACCCTGCTGTTCTTTGGATGACAGCTTGCGCCTCGACGTACTCCGTGAACGTATTTCGTGTTCGGGATCATTTGTTTTTTGTCTAACATGGCTTCGTGCAAGTGACAATTGTTGTCGTCTTCTCTGTGAACGTTTTTATCGCTGTTCTTTTGCCATTTTGAGATTTTAATTTCCAGCGAAATCTATACCAAGAAGTGTTTTAGCACACCACGTGACGCATCTGAACGAAATCACGTGGTCAGAAATTGACACCAGCCAATGAGATATGTTTTTTTCGGTTTAAGACCTCTTTGTACTTTCACGATTGGTACAAAGGAAATGACCATATTTGGATCCGATGAGATTGTGCAGGAGAGACGGAGCTTTCCAACGATACCTCTGAAGACATGGTGCAAACAGCGGTCACGGTACTTTATGTTACGTTAGAATGCTAACCTTTGGTGAATTTAGGAGAAACCTACAGACTCAAATAGACAAAATATAGTAAAATAAACACCTAAATGTGTATTTTGTACATTTTCCTTCCAAAAGCCTGAAAGAAAACATGTTATGGAATCAAAATAGCACAACATATCAAAATGACCAGTGCATGAAAAACGATGTGTTTGCCTGCCGTGTCTCGCCTTCATGAGTGAGACACGGCGGAGTTGAGGATCTGTGGGGTTTGTATGTCGATGTATGGGAAACACTGTTGTTTGTATGACAATTCACTAACAACCAATTCACGTGAAGGGGGGGTCGCCAGTCTCCGGCACAGTGATTTTGGGGGTCGCGGGCTGAAAAGTTTGGGAACCCCTGCTCTAAAGAAGAGGGACCAATGAAAACGTTCCGTTGTTCAGCATGGAAACATTCATTAGCTAACAATGACATTATTGTTCTATTAATATAAAGGGAGGTCAGGTACTCTTTAAAACAGCTGCTAGTTATGGGTACTTTTTACTGAAGTACATTTCAAAGCCCTCTTTACTTTGACTTGAGTAAAGAAGTTTAGTCAGTACTTCTACTTTACCAGAGTATTTTTAAACACGAGTATCTGTACTTCTACTTGAGTACAGGCTGTGTGTACTTCTACTTGAGTACAGGATGTGTGTACTTCTACTTGAGTACAGGATGTGTGTACTTCTACTTGAGTAAAGGATGTGTGTACTTCTACTTGAGTAAAGGATGTGTGTACTTCTACTTGAGTAAAGGATGTGTGTACTTCTACTTGAGTAAAGGATGTGTGTACTTTAACATCTCTGCTTATAACATTCTTAAAAGTAATTCATGATTCTCATGCTAAGAAGAAAGCAGTCTGACCTTCTGCAGGTTTTCGTCGTGGTCCAGTTGGTACTTCAGCTCGTCATGCAGCTCACCGCTGATCTGCTCCGGAGTGCACTGCAGAAATAAAGGAAATGGCTAAGCTAAAGGTGGCTAATGTTGGGCTATAAAGGAACTACAGCACGGTCACATGACTTCACGTCACCACCGCTAAGCTAAAGGAGGCTAATGTTGGGCTATAAAGGAACTACAGCACGGTCACATGACTTCACGTCACCACCGCTAAGCTAAAGGTGGCTAATGTTGGGCTATAAAGGAACTACAGCACGGTCACATGACTTCACGTCACCACCGCTAAGCTAAAGGTGGCTAATGTTGGGCTATAAAGGAACTACAGCACGGTCACATGACTTCACGTCACCACCGCTAAGCTAAAGGAGGCTAATGTTGGGCTATAAAGGAACTACAGCACGGTCACATGACTTCACGTCACCACCGCTAAGCTAAAGGAGGCTAATGTTGGGCTATAAAGGAACTACAGCACGGTGACATGACTTCACGTCTCCACCGCTAAGCTAAAGGAGGCTAATGTTGGGCTATAAAGGAACTACAGCACGGTCACATGACTTCACGTCACCACCGCTAAGCTAAAGGTGGCTAATGTTGGGCTATAAAGGAACTACAGCACGGTCACATGACTTCACGTCACCACCGCTAAGCTAAAGGAGGCTAATGTTGGGCTACAAAGGAACTACAGCACGGTCACATGACTTCACGTCACCACCGCTAAGCTAAAGGTGGCTAATGTTGGGCTATAAAGGAACTACAGCACGGTCACATGACTTCACTTCAACACAGCTAAGCTAAAGGTGGCTAATGTTGGGCTATAAAGGAACTACAGCACGGTCACATGACTTCACGTCACCACCGCTAAGCTAAAGGAGGCTAATGTTGGGCTATAAAGGAACTTGTATTTTTAGACTCACATAGGCCAGCGGGCCGTCGTCGATGTTGCTGCTGGTCCAGGGGTTCCAGTTGACCTGGGGGGGGCGACCAGGGCACGACCCCCGCTGTAGTCTGACGCTGAGACGGCTCGAAGGACGCCATCTTCCCCTGGATCAGAGACACGGGGCAGGAGGGGTCTGCCGGCTGCAGGGGGGGGGGGGCAATACAAGGCAAGTTCATTCATACAGCACCTTTCAACACAAGGCAAGTCAAAGGGCTTTACAAAAATGAAAGACATTAAGAGCATTAGCCTGTTAAGCCCTGAGCCTGTTTTTCAGGTCTCAGGCTCGAAAATGACATTCCCAGAACAAATGACCATATCATATATATGATATGTGTTATATTGTCTTATTTATACCATATCTATTCATTTTACTACACTGTTCATAATTTAAATACTTTCAGATGTATATATTTAGCACTTTACTGCTGTTTTGCACATCTGGTTAAAAGCTAACTGCATTTTGTTGTCCTAGTACTTGTACTTGAATCTAATCTAATATATTCTATGTTAAAGGTGGGGTAGGTAATGTTGGAGAAACCAGCTCGAGATCGCTAGAATTTGAAAATACACAGCCGGAACAAATCTGCCACTTCCTCACAGAGCCCCTCCTCCAACACACACGAACGCGCACATGACCAATGAGGGCACGAGATAAGTTTGTGCACAGATGGAAGGCTGACAGGCAGGTAGGCCATCCAGTTATTTTAGCCGGGCCGGCTCAGATGATTGGTCGTGCTTTTTACAGTACTACGGCTTCCACAGATGATATTCATTATGGATTTATTGTCAAAGCATTTAAGATATTCATTGCTACCTTTAAAGGTGGGGTAGGTAAGTTTGAGAAACCGGCTCGAGATACACTTTTTGTTATATTCCATGGAATGCTCTTAACATCCCGATAGCAATGAATATCTGAAGTGCTTTGACAAAAAATCCATTAAAAAATATCATCTGTGGAAGCTGTAGTACTGTAAAAAGCACGACCAATCATCTGAGCCGGCCCGGCTAAAATAACTGGATGGCCTACCTGCCTGTCAGCCTTCCATCTGTGCACAAACTTATCTCGTGCCCTCATTGGTCATGTGCGCGTTCGTGTGTGTTGGAGGAGGGGCTCTGTGAGGAAGTGGCAGATTTGTTCCGGTTGTGTATTTTCAAGTTCTAGCGCACTCCAGCTGGTTTCTCCAAAATTACCTACCCCACCTTTAATACAAAAAGTAAAAGGTGTTTTGTTTTGAAAAGTTCTGTATAAATAAAGTTATTAATATAATTATTTGTATTAGTATATGTTCTGAAAATAGTGAATGTCCTCTTCCAATAATTGAGTAACATGATAACAAAGGTATACCAAATGCTCTGTATGCGACTACTTCCATTCTTGAGAGGATCATAAATACATGGATCCTGATGTTGAAGCTCAAGCCGGGGATTATTAAAATGTTTAACTCTTCAGAAAAAGTCAGATTTGAGGAAAAAGTCAGATTTTTGAGGAAAAAGTCAGATTTTTGAGATTTTGAGAAAAAGTCAGGATATTTTGAAAAAAACAGAATTTTGAGAAAAAACTCAGTATTTTGAGAAAAAGTCTGAATGTTGAGATTTTCAGAAAAAAGCCAACATTGAGAAAAAAACTAATTATTTTGTACAGGAAAGGACACTGTTCAGCAACTAGTTGTACCAAATGCTCTGTATGTGATGACTTCTTCCATTCTTGAGAGGATCATAACTACATGGATCCTGAGATTGAAGCTCAAGCCGGGGTCCAGTGAGATTTTTCTAACAGTATATATATATATATATATATATATTAACATTATATCTACTATATCGACACTCAACGGTCTGGGGGCTCATTGGACTCACAGGGGGGGGGATGAGGACGCCGAGCTCCTGGACGACGGCCGCCAGCTGCTGCTGCAGATCTTCAGAAACACTGACATCAAACGGCTCCAGCTGGAAAACACAGAGACACTGAGAGCCTGAACACAACACAGGAAACGGCAACGCTTATATCTCTCTAATAAATTAGACTGTGGGTATATCCTGCATTCAGTGAGTGCACGTCAGCTGCTATAATCTGTGTGTAGTAATAACATGTTTATCAGTGAAAAAGGTCTATAGCGAAACAACAAACCAAGTCGCCGAGAGGCTGAGGCCGGGCCGGTTTGATATTGTGTGACACGCTACAAAAAAGTACTTAATGTGGTTTAATGAAAACTGGAATGATCAAGTTATTCTCCTTGGACATGTACATTGTTAGATTAACCCTTGTGCCCTCCTCAGACATTTTTGTACATTGTTCCTGACTCTTCTTTTTGATTTGGTGTTCATTTCAGCGTGTTTCAGCTTTTGATGGATTTTTGCAAGAAGTCTTCTTTTGAGTCAAATTTTTTAAATCCAATGTCGTTTACTCGTACATGTTTTGTATACTCTCGCGATGCATTTTGCACCCTCTGGACCCCTTCGTGGCAAAAATGTACACGCTCATAAAAACTGCTATTAAATCATATATCAATATTTTATTAAACTGTTTTTTTCATGAATCACATATACAACTTCTAACGTGCTCAAAACTACCAAACATTCAATCATTGGCAGGATTTTAACCCTTTAAATGCCTGTTTCATTATTTTAATTATTTCATTTCTCTCAAAAATGCCTCAGCATTTCATTTAGAAGAAAAGTGATATTTGATATTTCTACTCTATTCCAACAGATTACACCATTTTCCCTCTGGAGGCCGATGCATCACATTCTTACATTTTTGCCAGTTATATTATGGAGCCGTGTGACTACCAGGGGGGCCCGAGAGTGGTGTATGTATATGTGCGTGTGTATATGTGCGTATGTGTATGTGCGTGTGCGTGTGTGTATGTGCGTGTATGTGCGCGTGTGTATGTGCGCGTGTATATGTGCGCGTGTATATGTGCGTATGTGTATGTGCGTGCGTGTATGTGCGTGTATGTGCGTGTGTGTATGTATGTGCGTGTGTATGTGCGCGTGTGTATGTGCGCGTGTGTATGTGCGTGTGTGTATGCGCGTGTATGTGTGTCATTTCCAGCAGCAGGTCCTGCAGCATGTGACCTGGTGCTCTCAGGTGATAGAACAACCATTTTTTAGGCCTGTGCACAACCAGCACACACCTCTCCTCCCTCTCCGTGTGTGTGTGTGAGAATCTGTAAGCATGCACAGATCATTTCATGGGAAAAAAAGGCCATCTTTTGAGGGATGTGTTTGATGTGTCTTTGAAGAGCTGCTTGATTACTCAAAAACAAAAAACAACTGTTAGTGTGTTTATGCACCTGGCTGCCAAAGATAAACATGCAGTTTGACCAAGGGCTTATTTCATTAGTGAGCAGAGAAGGAGAAAGACCTGGAGCAAAGAGAAGGAACTCAAATGAAGAAGCTTTTCAGTGCAGAGGAGACTTCAGAAATAATCTTGCAGCCTTCTTCTGCCAGCTGCAGGACTCATCTGAAGAAGACACAAGGTTTGAGGGGGGGTCTGACACTGAATGCTCTCTGGGGTCTGACACTGAATGCTCTCTGGGGTCTGACACTGAATGCTCTCTGGGGTCTGACACTGAATGCTCTCTGGAGTCCAGCATTTCTTTGAGTTCCTCTGACCCTTCATCTGAAAGTGGAGAGGACACTGAGGGTCCGGCCCACCATCCACCACCACGGGGGGCTTTCTTCTCACAATCTGTGAGGACACCCTGGTTTTCCCCAGCTCCTGGGAGAACGACCTCCGTTCTTCTCTGTCCCCTCACTGTGGGCCGGACCCTCAGTGTCCTCTCCACTTTCAGATGAAGGGTCAGAGGAACTCAAAGAAATGCTGGACCCCAGAGAGCATTCAGTGTCAGACCCCAGAGAGCATTCAGTGTCAGACCCCAGAGAGCATTCAGTGTCAGACCCCAGAGAGCATTCAGTGTCAGACCCCAGAGAGCATTCAGTGTCAGACCCCAGAGAGCATTCAGTGTCAGACCCCAGAGAGCATTCAGTGTCAGACCCCCCCTCAAACCTTGTGTCTTCTTCAGATGAGTCCTGCAGCTGGCAGAAGAAGGCTGCAAGATTATTTCTGAAGTCTCTTCTGCACTGAAAAGCTTCTTCATTTGAGTTCCTTCTCTTTGCTCCAGGTCTTTCTCCTTCTCTGCTCACTAATGAAATAAGCCCTTGGTCAAACTGCATGTTTATCTTTGGCAGCCAGGTGCATAAACACACGAACAGTTGTTTTTGAGTAATCAAGCAGCTCTTCAAAGACACATCAAACACATCCCTCAAAAGATGGCCTTTTTTTTAACCCATGAAATGATCCGTGCATGCTTACAGATTCTCACACACACACACGGAGAGGGAGGAGAGGCACCTCTCGGGCCCCCCTGGTAGTCACACGGCTCCATAATATAACTGGCAAAAATGTAATTATGTGATGCATCGGCCTACAGAGGGAAAATGGTGTAATCTGTTGGAATAGAGTAGAAATATCAAATATCACTTTTCTTCTAAATGAAATGCTGACATTACAAAATGCATGGTTTTATACTGCAATGGCAGTGAGATCAACAAATGTGGTCTGAATGGAAGTCAATGAGGCATTTGAGATAAATGAAATAATTAAAATAATGAAACAGGCATTTAAAGGGTTAAAATCCTGCCAATGATTGAATGTTTGGTAGTTTTGAGTACGTTAGAAGTTGTTCAAGTGATTCATGAAAAGAAAAGTAGAAATAAATATTGATGTATGATTTAATAGAAGTTATTATGGGCGTGTACATTTTTGCCACGAAGGGGTCGAAGGGTTGAAAATTCGAGGAGGGCACACGGGTTAATCAAAGCAATCATTTCAACTTGTGGTCAACAAAAAGTACCCTGTGTCACCCTCTCTTCCACACACAGGTGAACAGGATTATAATGAGTGCCGCCCATGTGACCCAAGCCAACCAATCAATAGTGCTCAAACAAATATCTTATATTAAAACAAAAACGTAATTCTATACATGTTTCATGGCTCCTACAAGGTCCCTAATGAAACCCTACAGAAACAGCATAGTATTGATATATTATGTATTCACAGCAGTTAGAAAAGGACCATCTTTCCCTGAAAACACATTTGTATTTAAATGCAGGCAGAGTGAGAGTATGGCGGCCATCTTACCGTTTCCCCTTCCTTCTTCTTGGTGACCCCGGAGTACGCCTCCAGCACCCCAAGGTGGTACAGCTGCCGAACGAGAGACAACGCACACGACTGAGCCGCCAGCTTCTTGTTGGAGCCGTGCTCTCGAGCCGTGATTTCTGCAGAGCAAAAAAAACTCTTTGACATTCGATCTCAAGTCTCAAAAACATCCAATCGGAACAAAAAAACTCCAATGTTGAGAACAATAGGTGTTCCTCAGGGTGCACGGTTGGGCCCACTTTCACTTTGATAATATCTAAACAGTAGCTTTATGTAAATATATAAAATGTCTTACTTCTGCCGAGCTGCCTCACGAACAGATTCATCTCCGCGATGAAGCTCCTGCAGACACAAACATTACACTCTTCACTTCCTATGGGATTTTCAAAATAAAACAGGAAACGAAGCTTTGGGAAGGGGAAGTGATGGACTCACCTGCGGCAGTGCTCTCAGGAGGAAGCTGTGTGTTTTTCTGCCAGACTTGAGAGTATTAAATCACAGATGGAGATGTGAGGCTCTCTGGCTGCTCGCTGCCCTGCGGTGACACCAGAAATCACAACCACACCCCCAACAGCGCCACCCATGGGACAGCTTTAGTGCTGCATCTAAATGCTGCCCCATGTCTTCATCAGAGGGAGTGAGTTCTGGTGTCACCTTCGTCTTCCTCAAATATTCATCACCTGTCCACACACAGCTGAATGCTACGCCGTCATTTAATTTGTTCCATCTTTGATTTCACATTTTACAATATTTGTATTTATTTATTCTGGCATTCATTACACATTTCCTTTTTTACATTTTTAACTCTTACTTCTATTCAAATAATTATATTATATTTTATTGCACAATTCTACTTTAAGTTGTCGAGTTTATATACAATTTATTATGGAATTCTATCTTTTTATTGCACATTTTACATTCCCTTCTTTATACGAATAGTTTTATTACATTTTTTTAAGTGCACATTTTTTACTTTCAAATCTATTTTGCACATCTCTACTTTATCTCCTTGGTTTCCTAAATCTCTCACATCGTTTAAAATGTTTTTTTTATCATTATGCTTTAAAGGTAGGCTAGGTAAGAATGGAGAAACCAGCTCGAGATCGCTAGAATTTGAAAGTATGCAGTCGGAACAAATCTGCCACTTCCTCACAGAGCCCCTCCTCCAACACACACCAACGCGCACATGACCAATGAGGGCACGAGATAACTTTGTGCACAGATGGAAGGCTGACAGGCAGGTAGGCCATCCAGTTATTTTAGCCGGGCCGGCTCAGATGATTGGTCGTGCTTTTTACAGTATTACGGCTTCCACAGATGATATTTATGTATATATTTTTTGTCAAAGCACTTCAGATATTCATTGCTATCGGGATGTTAAGAGCATTCCATGGAATATAACAAGTGTTTCTGAAGGGAATTACCTACCCCACCTTTAAGGGTCATTAAGGCTGGTGCCCCACGGGAACGAAAACGGGTTGTATCCGCATATTTCTCTTGCGTAGCCCTTTAAGCTACACGAGGCCGTAACTAAACGATAGAAACAGACCCTGCAAACGACAACGGGTCCAAAGGTGGATAGATCTGGGAACGGAGCACTCTGGGGGGTCCAACGGCTCCGTGTGATCGCCTCTATACGAACATTTTGTGATAATGATGACGCAATAGCCCCGCCTCCCCCCACCTCTGCTGCTCACCCCCGCGTCAAAGTACACTGCACACTGAATTCAGATTATTATTCTTTATCTCGATATGGACATAAACGCGAGTGAAGTCTAATCTGACAGGACGGAGACACGCAGCTCCTCCTGCTGTGATGCAGCGAGAGCAAAACACACTTCAAGTCAGATCATCACCCTTAGCTATTTTAATGACCTCTCAAACTAAACTAGTTATAAATATGTTTATTTTTACTGTCGAGTCACTCATTACTGGATCAGCTGCTGCATGAGACAGACACTGACACTGTGAGAAGAGAGGGAAAAGAGAGGCTCCGTGTATTTGATGATTATATATCATTATATCGTCGTTATTCATTTGTTTTAAAGCTCAATAAATAACAAAGAAGACCTTTGACCGGCACTTTTATAATTTTGTCCGGAAGATTTAAACTTTAACACACGCTGACCGGCGAAAAACTCTGCCCGGATCCCTCGGCCCCCACCACGGAGAATAAACAGAAGTGCAGCCATGACAACCATTCTTCTTCGCTGCTTTTGTGGAGGAAGTTACAGCGCCACGTACAGGCTCGGCATATGTACTGCAGCTTTTCCAGCGGTTGGAGCTAAGCGGAGCTGTCTCGTGTGAACAGACACTATCCGGTGTGTATTGCGTGTGGGCGGAAGCTTTTTGGCGATTGCGTTTGCGTTAATCCTATGCGTTTTGCCGTATGCGTTCCCGTGGAGCACCAGCCTAAGATATCAGTTAATTTAATCGTGTCGCACTTCGCTCACTTGCTGATTCTCACTTTGAACAAAGTCTGAAAGTCTGATTATAAAAAACATTTGAGCACATATTTCAATGTGCAGATCCTTTCAAAATTAAGAGGAATTGGACAAAATTAAGAGTATAAATATAATATCTTATTTTAAAATAATTTAAAGAGATCAGGTTTAGGATGGTCTAAACCTATGAAACTAAATAACTGCATGAATAAGAACGTGATTTAGAGCGAGGCTTTAGCGTGTGTGTGGACAGATGTGAATATAATTATTATAATAAAATATGAATAATAACGTAATAGTGAACAGTGAGATCTCTGTGGTGTAGCCGACACACTGCGGAGGTCTCTGGGTTTCTGCAGTCCAGCAGAAAAACACACAGCAGCATCTTGACACACACACACTCTCAGAGGTACCACACACACACTCTCAGAGGTACCACACACACACTCTCAGAGGTACCACACACTCTCAGGTACCACACACACTCTCTGAGGTACCACACACACACTCTGAGGTAACACACACACTCTGAGGTACCACACACACACTCTGAGGTACCACACACACACTCAGAGGTACCACACACACACTCAGAGGTACCACACACACTCAGAGGTACCACACACACTCTGAGGTACCACACACACTCAGAGGTACCACACACACTCTCAGAGGTACCA